TTTATAATTAGGACTTTTGTTAACAAGTAATCTCGTTATTTTAAAGGTTATTATTGATAAAGCATTACTAAATTAAACTATTTTTAAGGATTTATCGCGTTTATTTTTAATTTTTATTCCCAAAGTTTCTAATGTTTTCGTAGTCATGGGACGGTCCTTATAAATTATGGGTGGTGGGGACAGAGATTAGTAACACACGAAATAAATTTCATAATCCAAAATAATCGAATTTCGAATCAAATTTTTGTAGCACAATCGCCATTCTACATCTCATTACCGAGCTGCAACGAAATGAATGTAAAAAAATCACGTATAACGTCTTAACCATTAGGATATAAACAAGATACTGAAGTTGAAGAAAACTCAAGTCGGGTGAGCATATGAAAATTTTAATCGTCAAATCGTAAACTAGTTTGTCCGTTAAAATTGGACGGAGGTACTTTTAAGGAATCAATATTGATATCATAAAGCGATAATACAGGAACAAGCTCACGTTATAACATATCGGCCACCAATATAAACGGTCCACGCCTGTTGCATAAGCTGGGCTCACTTATTAAAAGCTCAACGTACAACATAAAGCTCCAGGCATTAAACGCGTTAGTCACGGTTTATTTGGTGCAATAAATCACCTAAAAAAACAGGTACCATTGTTATCGCGTGACTTCGCATCGCGTTATGTATACGAACCGATGTCATAATTCTCAGCTGATTTCCTTTAGGCGTGACTAATACCCCTACTACGTTAATGATTTATTTTTAAATATTTTCTTGTATTTTTTACACCTCCCAATAAATTACCCTATAATGGGACTTATTATAATGTCTCGAATTTAGAAATTAAAAACGTATAAGAGTTCTGCTAAATCTTAATGTCATCTTAGTATAAAATTATCTGTAAATTACTCATATGAATTAAAAAAATAAACCCAAAGTATGTGCATATTGTAAATTGTGTTAAAAAATATAAAAAAAATATTTTTAAGTTCATAATAAAATCTCTAATAAAACGATTATATTATATTATTATATTCGAAGGTTATAAAACGATTAGATGACGAAAATGTCTGAATGGTCAATTGTCCGTACGTTAATTATTAATTGTTCACACGTGGCTGTTAATGAAGCTTGTCTACGCTGTTAATGGCCATTTAACTCTGACAATTCATTCATATGAACAACATAATTTCAAATGGTTGTTGCTAGATAGAAAGATTAAATATACTCTTTTATGATAATTCTTGTATTTACACGATTACACATTATAAATGGAACAATTTTTAGGGATTTATCGCGTTTATTTTTAATTTTAATTATCGACGTTTTGAAATTTTTACAGCATTCATGGTGACAGGCACAGTCCTGTGACCTTTTCATACCAGTTCAGTTAAACTCTCCTAAAAATACAAAATTTTTAATAGATTGAAGGATAGTTTTCTTATCTATTTGTGATATTTGAAGAAATACTATTACTTGGTAAAAAGTATTAATATATTGTATGAACAGAATAAAAAATATTCGTCGAAAATCCATTACATGGAGCACGAATTCTTTCGTGCGTTGAGATTCCGAGTCAAGTTAAACAACTCGCCAATATTACCGCAAATAGAAAAGACGAAGTCTGCAAGGCAAAACTTTCGTCGAACAATTCAAGGCGGCAACAAAATCCTGCAACGAATACGTTACTGTTAAAATTTAATCGGAGCAAATTCCTTCAATAACTTTCCCGACATTTCTATAGGGACCCCCCATTCACCTGAAGTGCAAAACTGGGAATTGGAAACCATAACTCAACTAATAGGGGAGGACAACGCAGCCACGCCATCTGTACGTCTTATCTGTGGCAATAAATATAAGGAAACTCGGATCCAAGGAGTAAGAATTTCGGCTCCGAAAGTACCTCTAGACTACGCCGTGTAATGGATAATTCATGCACCCCTGTTATCGTTCGACGTCGGTAATTTTCAGTATATTTCAGTAATTATTTTTCGAAATTTATTATTTCAATGCCCGCAATGTTTCGTGCTGTATAAAATGCCTATTAAATGCCGCTTAATAATATTGCAGCTATATGACCTATAATTATGTATTGTCACTCACAATGGTCACTTTTACTTTCAAAATACTGATACTACTATACTGACTTTAACTATTTTAAGTTTATAACATAGACGTTTAAAGTATTGTTTATTTAAATACTTACAATAATATAAATAGAAAACATCGGGAGATAACGCAAGTATTTTTTATTGCCATTTTACTTAACTATGTGCTAATAACGCTAGTGAGAGTCCTTTGATAAACACCAAACATATTTCAAATTGCACAGTACATATAAAGATTAAACAGTTGGAAATACTGCACGATGTCAAAGGCGTTTAAAGTGATTCTCTGAATGAGCCTAAAATCGACCACCAGATGAGAGCATAAATTCAGTTAAGCGAAACCAAACGTTTTACAGCCCGCAAAACCGCCGATAACCGATCAGAGTTGAGTTCGATTTCTCACAATATTAATAAACATCCCATAAGATTGCTAGGATCGCATAACTTACCGCATCCAGCTTTATCCCGTCTTCTAAAAATACCCTTGCACTCTCCTTCGTGTTTTGGCAGCTCTTTTACAGTACACGCGGTGTGTCTTTGGAACTTTTTTTCTCATAATGTCCGTGCAAGTCCCTCATCGGATGTTTTCAAGAAAAAAGCAAAGGAGTTCTATTTATCCACGTAACGTGTTTTTCTTCTTGTAGTTATATGTCTTGTGTTCTATCTTAGTTACTATATATTATGTGTATGTTATGTATTATGTATATATGTTTATAGATATATTTATGTATAATATATGTTAATGTATATATTTATGTCTGGTATGTTATAGAAATACCTCGGTGCACTGAACACATTTCCAGGTACCTTCAATCACATATTTTTCTCACCAGGTTAGCTGGTAAATAAATAAATATCTTGTTATCAAATATCGCTGCAGTGTCTGTTAAATTAATCATGTCTTCCATGACAAAGATTTTCTACATTATGGGGTACGCATACGCCATTGCCTAATTGCCATGTTCATTCCTTCCACACTTATACCTCATTTTACGGAACGTCAACCTAACGTATGAGACATGGGTATACGTGGGTTCATGTAAACCTGACACTGCTTGCAAACTGAACATTAAGCGGAAGAATGCATCAATGTTATTTTTTACATATGTTATTATTTTAGTGTTATAGGTGAGATTAACGTAAATTTAAACAAAACATGTAAAACAAAACCCAAACTCAATAGGATAATAAGTATGTACGAGTGTTTCATTGCCGTGTGTAAATTTATTTTACAGCATGATAACTAAAAACGCATTATAATATGCAGTGCGTTTTTATTTCTCAATCTTTTTAATTTTATTCCACCTCACTTCGTTAAAAATACGCCAGCTTTAATTCAATGACGTTTCTTTCGTTTGTTAATTTTTCTTTGTCACACTGCCACTCGACGACGTGATAGAGAGGACTCGGAAATATAGGAGGGGAGGATTTAAAAAAAAAAAGCGAAATTTTGGCTAAAATCTCAGAGTTACGCACCGGAGTGTCGTAATGCTACTTTAAACTTTCACTTTTGCGTTCAAGCTCTGTAGTATAATCGACATTTTTAGAATTTCTGTGTCGAATTAACGAAATAACCTGCATGAAAATCGCACTCGTAATATTATATTGATTGCGAACGGATTGATGGTGTTAGTGTCTGTCACTTTATTTAAGTATAAAGAATTTTATTTCTTTTCAAGCATAAATATTATCTATTCTTTTTAGCAATAAATAATGAAAATTAATTTTACAGACTTATTTTGATATTGCCTCAAAAGTTTAATCAAAATAGACACACAATAAATGACAAAAACGTAAAAACATTGCGAACTTTCATTCCAGTTTTAGAATACATAAGAAGTGTACAGATTAAAATAGCATTAAATGCTATGCGATACCATAACGCTGGCTTTTGATGTTTTATGAACTGTTTCGTTTTATGGCCGTCTTATTCGAAGCGATAAATATAAAAGTTGAAGAGTCATCCAGCTCTATTCCTTGACAAGGGCCGTCATCCAACACCTGGTGTGAAATGCAATCAAGTTTAATTATTACGGGTATTAATAACAAGGGCGCAGTAGGGGTGAGTTCCCAACCTGTTACTATGGCAACGCCCTAACGTAAGAACACAAGCTGTTGCGACTTGCACATCTAAATACTTGCTTGTATATACAAAACTAAACCCGATTAACTGCGTTGTTGTTAGGAAAGTCAAGTAAATTTGCTTGATATTTCAATTCAAGTTTTGCACAACGGTTTGTAGAAATTAAAACAAGCAGTGGGTTTAACGAACTGCGTTTTATTAAAGGACTAATCTTTTTTGATACAAAAATTTTGTCAGTGGCAGTATCAGAAATTCAGTTTCAGTATAAAATGCTACGGCTAGATTATTGAAATTACGTTGTTGGTTCCATTTTTGAAACGATTCTCACTAAACACAATAAATAGGAAAAGGTAAAATTGTATAAGGATATCAAATATATCGAATTATGTACAAAATTAATCATTGAATAGGAAATTATACTATATCACAGTCACTAGAGAGATGAAAACCTAATGCTATATAAGTTACGTTTCAGCAGTCTATTCGAAAACACCTTTACAAGACGAAAAGTAAATCGTCGTAAGAAATTTATTAACAATGTTACATAAATTATAATAAGAAGCAATCACAGCCAAAAAAAAAAAAATAATTCAAAATACCAATTTCGAAAAATACTGGCTATTTAACTAAGTCGATGTCGTAGAGCAATAAACAACAATTGAGCACTTACTGAGGTCAAAAGTTCATCATCTACATAGTTATTAATGTAAGTTATAACAAATTATTTACAATTCACTAAAATGTAATATTGCTTGCATTACGTACTAATGATACTAGCTCACAACGATATTTCACTTGCAAATTGTCAATTAACTCCGGTACGAATGTCCGGAGAATCCCGACGCCCCGGAATTACTGACGAACGTGTTCAAGTCTCCATACGGAGATTCTCTGTAAAAGGTGTGATAATCAATCTTATGGTTTTAAAAGGAATATGCATTTTTCATCTGCATCCACTGACACTTACCTTTCATATGGCGGTGGGGGAAGAATATCGCATAAGTTCATTCGACAATTTTGATCAGCCCGCCCGCCTTGCGTCGAATGCCGGGAACTCGAACCGACTTGCCTAAAAGTATTCTCTCGCCCCAACCAATGCCATTGTGGATAATCGTATTCTACCTCCGCGACGGTCGCCCATTCTTTGTGACCGTCATGCTGACTTGACGGCCGCGGCTGATTTGTCTTGCACGACGGACACTCGTCCACTGGGATGTCTTGTATTTCGTCGACGTCGTTCCCACACTTAGTCATTTCACTGTAGTCCTTTGTCAAAGTCGAACTGCTGCTGCGACAACACGTGGAACACTCCTCGTTAGAGTACTGGTTACTATCACCGAACGACCTAACCATACTGTTATCATAAGAACCTGGGCTGACTGCGCACTTTATGCACGAATCTTCTGCGTCTGTGTGATCCTGTAACTGTAAAAAAATATTTACCATCATAAGCGATTTTAATTAAAAAGTCATTTAGAATTTTTTCGTCTTACTAGTTCGCCTTTTACCTGATAAGTTAATTCAGTATAAATTGCACTAGACGCGTAAGGCTCTGGAGCTATAGTTCGCCGATCTTCGTGGTTACTGTTATTTAAATTACTTGTGTGTTGTGGTAAACTATATTCGGCTTCCATGGCCATTGTGCCTATTGTGTGTCCACCTAAAAATAAGTTGGCCTTTTATTACCTTTTTAAAAAACTCACAATTATTTCATACGTAAAATAGTCTAGACCATGATAAAATAACAATAGTTTTTATAAAAATCTATTACCATGTACAAGACTTTGGTGGCAATTCAAGATTTCAATCCGCGGTTCGTTGGACCCTTCAAACACTGGTCTTTCCCGCAGCCAGACTGCTTCTTTACCCAATAAACATTGCTGCGCATTAGCAATTGGAGTCCCTGAAACAAATGCAATATTCATTTTAGTTATAACTTTGTTAAAAATTTGCTTTGTTGACAATATTAATACACCATTACGAATACAACTTACCAACAGTACTCTGGTTTTTCCTTTGCTTCAGTTGTCTCCTACGAATATAAAATATTATCCCCGCGCCAATGAGCACCAACGCCAACAAAAGCACACTCATTGCTAATAGCCAGGACTCGTGAAATATCGTTAGCAATGCTTTATCTCTGGCAGGCTCGGTTCTGGAACAAACAATGCATCTCGGATTATTGATCGTCCAGATTTTGTGAAGGCGTGAACGCCCACTGACAAACGTCATACCAGGCCTGGTTTAACTCGGTTCTCCTATAGGTATAAGTATAACTTACTGGACGTAATGCCTCTGGGATTGCGTAGGCAGCATATGTATGAGTGCTGGTGTACTGAAGGGTCCGTGCCCTTTGCGTGTGACGGCAGCGGCGCGAGCGCTGTACCGTCCACCAGCTCTCAGGGAACTGGCCGTAGCCGCGCGGGTGCGAGCACCTAACGACATCTGGCCAACCACTCGGCCGTTGTTACTCCCTCCTACTCGTACCTCAATCTAAAATTAAGAAAGTGAAGTACAGACTACACATACATCCCATAGCTGGACAAAGCCCTCCTGGGTATTAGGGAAAACTGATATTTTTTGTTAAGTCTTAAATAGACTGCTCTAAATAAAATGCTTTAGCTTAGCAGTTTAAATTGGACTTCAATTTATATCAAGGTTACTCACACTTAGCGATTTTGATTGATATAGTACACCTTGAACCATGCATATTACACGACATAAAAACTTTAAAATATCATAAAGCGGAAAATAAAGTTGACAATTTATTTTACAAACAAAACCAAAATGGACACAAATCTCGAGAAAATTTTTAAATGAGTATTTTCACCAAGTATCCAGAAAGTTCTCCATTCCAGTGATGTACAGGTGGCGGATCCCATCGGATCCAAGCCGATGTGGAATTTATTACTGCCGCAGTAACACTTTGCGGTGGTGCTGACGGTACTTGAAAAAGGTAAAACAGAACGTGAGAATAGAAAACGAAAAATTCCTATTTGATTTTATTCCCTAATACTTACTGTCTTCTTCAGTGAAACCAGACTTCATATTGGACGGTTTACCCAGTAACAGTTTATAAAAAGGCATCAAGAATACGTTGTATTGCGCGTAAGGCATTAATCCAGTTAAAATATGGCTTGATGAACCACTATTATGTACAGTGGTCATAGTAAAGTTATCAAATTTCGAAAGTTCCGTTAAACTATCAACAGTTTCGTTCAACTGCTGAACATTTTGTACTTCAACTGCGAATTTTCTATTAATCGATGATCCATTGAACCATATTTTCACGCCTTCCAGATATTCATTATAATCCGTCATTACCTAAAAGTATAAAATATTGATTGTACATAATAACTATTAACTTAAGTTTTGAATTTCCTATCCCCTAACCCAAGCCATTACAAAATAATGCAAATAACAGAAAATTGATTAAATTCAATTTTGAAATTAGTAAAGTATAGTAACAGCATATACATGTCCCAGTTCTGGGCAAATACCTCCACTATACAGGGCATAGGGCATATTAGTATATGTGTATATTTATTTGCATGTAATATTTTATATATTATCATGTTTTTCACTATGTCATCTGGTTCTTTCGCACCTCCTTATTCTGTCCGTTTATATGTCGGTTGACTGGTAGAGAACACCTAATGGTGTTAAGTCCGCCATTGTACGTTATTTTGCATAAAGTTTTTAAATAAATAAAAATAGTCCACCCCGCGACTTCACTGCGGATATTATCTTCTTCGACTTCACACATCGAGAATACGCAGGTTTCCTCACGATTTTTTCCTTCACCGCGGAGCACGTCATATGTCAATACTTAAAATCAAAAATTTCAGTGGTGCCGGCACTTGGGATCGCACTCAGGTTGCTAGAGTATATGTAGCGCCCATAAAATGAGCTGTCACAGCTCTATAAATTACTAATGCTACAGCAAATTACTAATTAGAGGTCATCCTAATTTCGATAATGGATCGTTATGTATGAAACATTTAAAAATGTTCTCGTCAACCATGTTAATTAATTTTAGAATTTCATTTATCTTTATATACTCACATCCCAAACTATTTTTAGCGTCGTGGCGGACATTCCCTCCACTCTGCGCAGAACAAGAACATCTTGTTGTAAATATCGACGCGCTTGTACCAATTCGTACTGTGTCATCGGCGGATGATTTTGCGGCTTATTGATTTCCGGATAAGGTGACGACGATTCCAAGTTCCCGTTGAACGAATTCGCTTCTCTTCTAAGTACCTGTTGATATTTTCGAAAACAATTAGTACAATGTGCAACATATAATTGATAAATGCTCGTTCAATTGTTTTAATATTTTTTGTATAACGTACCTGTAGTGTGGCCGTGTGTAATGCGCTCCCCGCTGCACTCACTGCCACGCATGTCAGTCTACCAGCATGTTGCGCGAATACTCGATCCAGATATAACGATCCACTACTGTGCAACGAATTCGGAAATATCAATTCCTGCCAAAGATTAAAAATAAAAACGCATGTAAGGTCAAATAACCATAACGACCACCCACGTAGATTATGACTTACCTGAGACCCTTCCATTGTCCAGAACACAACAGGCTTAGGCACACCTTCCGCTTCACAAGGAAACGATACTGATTCTCCCTCCCAAGCAGTCTGGTCTGATGGGACCCGTGTAAAATGGGGCAATGCTAAAATTTTATTTTTAAAATGAATGAATGAATATTATGACTGGTGAATCGGTGTAGCAGGCTAAGCTACTTGCGTCGGCGCTGAGGGCCGAGAGTTCAATTCGCATGTGGGATAATTTTTCTTTTGACCCACAGATAATTGTTCCGGATTCAGGAATTTGTTACCTAGGAGAGCTTGTCCAGCAGGTAGCTGGTTTAAATCCGAGCCAATATGTTTAACAACATGAAACACATATTGTGTCGAAAGCCCACACAAAGTTAAGCCAGAGCTAAGAGGAAGCAGTGTAATATTGAATTACATAAAATTTAAAAAAATCTATAATTAAGATTTAACTCACAATTAACTGAGAGGACAGCACTAGCGCTGCTAGTTCCGGCCTGAGTTTCAGCGCGACATGTATATGACCCGGCATCGGTAGTCACAACTCTGTCAATCCGTAACGAGCCACGGCGGATTATTGCGTATGGAGACAGGGCACCTTTGTCACGAGACCACGTCACCGATACGTCCGAGTCCGGCGATACCTAAGCAAATACATCTGCTGAGGCTTGTTTTTGTGTAACATTAAAGAGCTGGTTTAACATTAATGTAACACTGAACATATATTATGGAAACATCAGCCCGCTTACTTGACAGTGAAACTCCACATTCTGTCCAATGAGCGCAGTCACGTTATTGGGTTTCACGATGAAATGTGGTCGCCGTAACACGAGTAAGGTGGCAGGGTGCGATTGTCTTTCCCCTGCAACGTTAGAAGCTACACATCGGTACACGCCGCTATCCGAAGGTAGACTCTCCAATATGTTCAAATTTCCCCCGTCCACGATTGTTATTCTAAAACAGGCGCGATATGATTTTATCGAATTTTTACATCGGCTGTTAGTAATATTTCGTGTTTTTAATTTTTCGTACCGTCCATTAACTTCGACGTCCAATGTTTGTCCGTCTTTCGTCCAGTGAACTGATGGATCAGGATTACCTCTTGGGGATGAACATTCCAGCAGAGCTGATTCTCCACTTGCTACTTTGACATCACGAGGTTCGTTTCTAAATTCGTCGCGTAGGACTGGAACCAACAAAAAATAATTATGTTCTATCAATCTTGGATCTACGTCACTTATATTGTGTACATTACGTGATTTTAACGTAAGCTTTGACTAATAAATACCTCAGTAAGATGTAAATTGGAATATGAATGTTATCGCAGTTCTTGTAACTCGTTAACAGGTTTTGTGAAAATTTGTAATATTCGCGTAAGCGTAAAAATTACTATGCACCTACAGCTATTATATGTCAATCGCTTGTGATCGCGCAGCCGTTGAATAGTGGCCGCATACCGATATCATATCGCCGCATTAATTTACCACAATCACATATCGGTAAAAATATCAAAGCTGTACTCTTTACAGTAATATGTACAGCTAGTAAACTACCAGAACATTTAAGGTAAAACTTAAGCGATCAGTCATGGTCCAATTTGTCCGTTCAATAATGCTACACCGAGCTAGCTCAGTGTCAGGACGCCTGCTTTTAATTTAATATACTCGAGCAACGTGAGTTCATCTCAGTGACCTCAGTTCTCACCAGGAAACTGTTGATTGAAATTTTAAGTGATGACGTGCTCAGCGGTTTAAGACAGAAGCGCTTCACAGAGCAGGCCCTTGCTCAGCAGTGGAACATATACAGGCTTTCAGTTTATTGTTATTACTCGTTTAATGCAACACCAGTATCAATTAATTAATGTACCCGCTATAATGAGAGTCGCGTTCTTGCTAACCGCTTCCCCGACAGAGTTACGTGCGACGCACCAGTACACGCCCTCGTCCGTCTCCTTCTTCCCTCGCATGACCCTAAAATAATGATTAAATAATAACCCCTAACATTTACAATCACGCATAACGACATAAGCCTTATAATATAACTAGCTGCTGCCCGCGACTACGTCTGCGTAGAAAAGGCTGAAGGCGTAACATTCAGACAGAAAGACAGATATACATAAAATATGTATATAAATTATAGCCTATGTCTTATTCTGGTGTATAAGCTAGTTATATTATCGTAAAATTTCATTAAAATCCATTCAGTAGTGTTTGCATGGAAGAGTAACAAACATCCATCCATACATACAAACTTTCGCCATTATAATATTAACTAAGGATTAATCATGAAAGCCTTGCCTTATTTGTTAAATTCACACAAAAAAAAGTTTCGTTTCTCCGAATCTGTTTACAGTTAAATAACAAAGTATTCGTTTATCTTATCTATGCCGCTTTGAGGACACTAGTAATGCGGCCGTGGGAAATCATTATTCTCAAGTCAAAATTTCCTTAATTATAAGTTAAACTTTTTATCTTCTGACGAGGTATATAATGAAAACAACGTCAATTATATATGAACTGGTTTCAATTTTAGTAAAATAATTGTAGCCACAAAGCCGTAAGCAACAGAAATTAGAGCCCGCGAACTTACACTTCAAATCAACGACTTAAGCACTGGTGCAACACTCCATACAAAAAGCGTTTACCTGAGAAACAGCAGTCCATCTTCAAGCAACACTCTGTGCGGGTGATCAGTGGCCGTGAGGGGAATCCCGTCTTTGTACCATTGGATCGTAGGTTTCGGCTTACCCTCGGCCACACAACGGAGGGTAGCGGGTTCGCTTCTGCCGACCACCGTGTCCGCAGGGTGTTCTTTTATGCGTGGCGCCCGGCTTTGCGCTTTCCGGAAATAATTTACCCCAGTTTTAACAAGTTAACGAACACTAAGTTAATAAACACTTATTAAAGCTGCTTAGAATGCTTAATAAAGAACAAATCTTTTGCCAAAAACGTTGAAAAAGAACGTGAACAAATTCAACTCCAGCTAGTTTCGATCGCAACTAACAAATAACATTTAATCGATCTTATGAACTATGTAAACATGCTTAGAATTAAAACAAAACTTGGCAGTGTTAAATTAAATCAAAAAGTAATATTTTATCGCGCTGTATTAAAATTTTTAAAGAAGAAATGATATTTTCTCCGTCGGGAAAGGTATAAACATTGTTTAAAATTAAAGTCCGTCGCGTTCGTACCGCGCATTTCGAAACTATAGCAAAGAGGGGCATTTTAATTGCTTCTAAAATAATGCAGATCGCAATCTTTCTGACTCACCTTTCGTCGCCTGCGGTAACGTAAACATAAGATGCAAAAGCAGTGCAGTTTTTAACTGGACCCATGCGCGTTTATCCTTTTTAATTGCCACCGCGACCATGCTTGACACTTCTTAATGACGTCACCGAGCACTACATTACCACATTGCTACCGCTCTCAGCGTTTTCTGATCATTAAAAGCTCGCATAATTTTTTTTAAATAAAATTCGCGTAAACATCATCGATATTACGTTCGCAAATCGCGACGCGTTCTTTAACGGAGCGACACAACATCCACGCGCGATATCCTTCAGGTTACTGCCCCCTCCACTCCAGATGTCATTCGCGCCGACTCAGTAAAGTACGGGCTTTCGCTAACTTGAGCTTTATGGTGATTGTTGGGGATATGACCGCTCGAGTATAAGATTATTCTATTCGATACACTTTTACGTCTCAATTTAAAACTTTAATATGGCACTGTAGACTGTAGTCTACGTGTACTTTAATAAAATATTTGTAAAAGTTAATTAAATTGATGATTAATGGTTTTGTTTTTGATCATTGGTTACTTATGATACGCAATCACTTATAAGCTTGGTCAGTAAATGTCGATGTGAAAAAAATTTTTTATCGTTTTGTATCTGAAATCTTCTAATTTTAAGTACGCATAAATGAAAATTTACTGTGATTACAGGGTTAAGTTCTGCTGCATCTCTAGAGTTAAAGCATAGTTACATACACATAATAATATGACAGACATAATAGACAATAGTCTATCTGGATACCAGTGACAAAATTTATAATTGTGTCACAAAAATCATTGCATAAAATCAACTCGTGTTTTCCTATAAAGCATACATTTATAAGCCTTGATTTCTTGATTTACATTAAATTTTCATCTACTTTGCATTTGATTATCTTTCATTACCACTCGATGATAAACAGCGATGAAGTCTAGGATAGAAGAGGATAAAACAGCTTAGGAACGGCCTAATATAATTCTGAAACAAGAATGTCCGTATAAATTTATTACAACATTTTGTTATGAACAACGTCTCATGTCATGAATATTTAAGCTGAATAGAGTTAATGAAGGGAAGTTCCTTTGTTACGGACTAAGAGCTATATTACGTACGTGGAACTGACAAAGGCTCCGCTTAGTAGGCCAATGTTGACATGTCTGACACATGTATAAATAATTCTGGATGTTTGTTATTAACCAAACAAAACCATAAATAGAAGTTAGGCTTGTAGGAAAGAAATGTACTCGTAAAGTTTTCTGCAAATTCATTCAATATAATATGTAATTATTTACTTATTACTGCAGACATTTTTAATTAACTTGACAAATATAATTATTAGCTAAAAACTAATTCAATTGTTATAAAGGGGGAAAATTCACGATTTTAAAGGCTTGTAGTTATTGCATAATAAATGAAATAAAAATAAATTTTATTTACGAAACAACATTAAATCTTTTTAAAGTAAAACATCAGTTTACTACACAATCTTTGTCTCTTTCATTATGAATATCAAGACAAAAATTGCCTCGGGTAAAACTAAACTAAGTTTTCCAACAGACAAAAGTTTTATCGAAAGCCTCGTCCAATTCTTAGTTTATAACTCCTTTAACCACATAGACTTATCTACTACAATATAACGGATACAACTTTTTAAAAGTAAGGATTCACGGAATATTAGTATGTCACATATGAAGGCAAATATCACAATTTCTCGTTCATGATCAATAAATAATTAAACTAAGGATTCGATATCTGAACTAAGTTTCGTATTACAAAAATGTTTGTAGTCTGACGTAGAATTCGATAAAACTTAATTTTACAAATAGTGTTATGCTACCGTTGTGACTAATTCGAATTTAAGAAATCTTCTTCAATCTTGTTTTGCGAACGTATCCGGAGGCGGTTCCGTGATTGCACCGCAAAATAGTTAAGATAACTAGATACGTGCGTCGCATATCTCCTGTGGCAATTGTCACGTCCAAAGGAACACGTGTGTGGAATCGTAGACACGGGACCGGCGCGAAATGGGTGGGTATTCCGACAATGTCGCCGTCTTTAATTGCCCCCCCGGACTAACTAGTCACGTGTTAATTAAGGATGTGCGAAAATTGGACGACAACCGCTGAAAATAATGCATATGCGTGTATATTAAATTTCCTGGGTACACGGTCCGCAACCGAACAGGTGCAGAATGTTGATAGAATGTTGATGTCTTTCTTAAAGTAAAATTTCCATGTTAATAACTGTTATTTATAACACGTATTATATTTTTGTAAAAATAAAATACCAGAAGTTTTGTGATAAAATAAGTCAATTTTGCTGTCAATTGAATGCCCAACATTAGGAACAGTTAAAACAGAATATAATTTATATTATTATCTTCATCGTCGAAACTAAAGACATCTCTTACTTCAAATAAGAGCAACTGAATTCATTAAACGACATATGAAACTAACGACCCGACCCGGCTTCGCACGGGTGCAATGTATTATACATATAAACCTTCCTCTTTACGCTATCTAGTAAAAAAAACCGCAGCAAGACCCGTTGCGTAGTTTTAAAGATCTAAGAATACATAGGGACAGACACATAGCGGAAAGACTTTGTTTTATACTATGTAGTGATGTTACTTCAAACTATTTTTCTTCTGAAAATTATCTTTTTTCCTTCCTTTTCTCCAGTCTTCATGTGCATCAAGATACCCGTTAACGAGTTACATTAACGTAGCGCTTTATTCAAGAGTCCAAACTAATTCTTAAAATGCATCCGCCTGTGACGATTCGCAGACTGCGTTCGCGTCTGGCAGGAGTCGCCATTTTCCGCCGGCCGCCTAAAGTCTGCTGAATGCGACCCACGTCCGGATCGCCAGGTGAGGCCCGATACAGATCACTGGCGCGTGCCGACCCCAGGGGGAAGGGAAATGATAAAACTGCACCCCTGTCACGTGTTTATCCTGCTTTAAAGGATTTGTTAGGTTTATGTCATTGATTTTTGTTTCTTCTGGCCTCCCGAATTTAGCAGTATAAATGAACTGCGACATTTATTAAATCTATTCAATAAAATAGCAGGCAATACTTTAACGTTCATAAGTTTTATCAAAGAAAAGAGTGATGCGGTCCGTTGCAGCCGGTACAAGCATAGGTTGTTCTGTGATATTGAATCAAGGGATTATAAGGTTGCTGTGATATTTTAGAAATTTACTCATGCTAAAGGCGCCCGAAAATTTGAGTTTATTCCGAGTTTCATCAGATTTAGTCTCAAACGGGCAACTATATAATTCTATAAAGAAACCACCTCAGAAAATAAAGACCAGGCGTAAATAAAGGTATTATAAAAAACCCAGTTCAGCGAAAGCATCGACGACACTCACTTGTTATCAACGCACTTAGACAAATTGGCACTCATAAAAAAATAGTGGACGTTCCAAAGCAAAGCGATCGCAAAATGAATTATCGGGCGCACGATACGAGCCAGTGCATTCAGCAGGCAAGCGCCTCAGGGGCAACTAATTCAATCAATTGGCTGACCATAAATAATGGCGACCCGCGATACGGTGGACCGCGTCGTAATTGAGAAGCAGCGATACAGACGGCTTTAAGCGACAAATCAATTAAGGACGAAAGAGATAAAAAGGATGCATTAATAAGGGGTCGAAATAAAGTGCCTCGCGATCCGTTGCAGGGTTGAAGCGATACTCTTCACTCGCTCGCGTTTTAAATCCTTCAGCTTTGCCCGATTTATTATGGTTCTAAAGATTGAATGGAGCTGATTTGATGGAATTTATTGCTTTCCGATCTGTTTCGATTTCCATTATACTTTTCCATAAATGAATTTGCCGTTTCAATGGTTTCTTATCTGAAAACGTCTATGTCGCAACGGTATATGAAATTTTGTACTCGTAACAAGGATAAAAAGCGCATAATGTGGTTTAGAAATAAGGACAAACTAACCAATATAGCAAAAATTCAAAAATCAAGCTTGTTACTCAGAAAGGTAGGCAGATTTTAAGATCATTCTCTTTACGCCATCCTTGAACATCTCCGTTTCCTTCTCCCAATCCGTACCTACCGTCTTCGCATATTTAGTCGTCTCTTACGAATATTTTATATAAAATATACTTATATTTGTAAAAGAAATAAGGACCATAATTAATATATTACAAAAATGAAACATCTTTACGTTGTTTGTTACATTTAAATGAAATAGACGCTAAAGTTTTATTCCAATTCCGCCATCATCCGACCTCATTTTACGATACTCTTAAACAAAACTTTTGGACCTATTTAAAAGTTTAAATTGCAGTTTAACAAATACGTATTACCTATCTTAAAGATACTTTAAAGTCTTGGCTTGATTTTAAAACATATTACACGATAATATATCAACGCCAACAACAATAATAGTATTAAAACTATCTTAAGAGTTTGACAGTTCAAATTTATTTCAGTCATTGTTTTACGTCACGAAAGTAATGTTAGTATGTATTTCAGTTTAATAAATGAATAATGTTGGGAAGTTACACTACTGTATAGGACTAACTTGTGGCTGTTTAATAACTTTATGCCGTGCAGTGTGCTTTGTTAAGAAGTTCAAGACTTGTTATTGCATTTAAATTGAATATATTATGCCCTCTGTAAACACAATTGACTGTAGTAATTTAATTAAAACAATGTAACCTACTTATAATATGCGATGCATAATCCCTAATCTTCTAAGGTCCTAATCGAAATTCGTCTTTTAACGACAATGAATTCGTAACTTTAATCTAGAAAACGTTAGATTGTATGTCAATCAAAAAAGTAACATTTGTGTTAGTACCGCTTTGATTGAGTGTCATCCATTTAATTTTTGCACAAACAAATAGTAAATGGAGTCATTGCACAACGCTCAGATTGAAAACCCCGAATGCCGAGTTAATCTCCCGAATACTAGACCACTACTACCCCAAATTCTACAAAAATAGTTAACATTTTCATAAGCAATTCGCTGATCAGTATTGCCCGCACTGATTTCCTTTCTTAGAATTGTGGCCACAATATTTGCAATACAAAAATGATCGGAATTCACGTGAACTTTAACTTAAAATCAGTCTGTATAG